ATTAAATTTGTAATTATTTGCGAAGTTACTTATTTTAAAGCATTTTCACATATGGCACGTAATTATAAAAACTTTTATTTCTCAGTTTTTATTGATGTAAGTATAGTACACACAACGATTTATCCAGTACCAAGTTTCACAAATTTAATTTGGTAAGAAACTTTGTCGTTTGATAAATCTTAATTATCTTGTGTTACCAAGTCAAAACCATTATTTAGTTGCACGCATTACAAATCGACACTTTGCAGTACTTTCCTGTGGTTTAGTAAGCTTGACATTATTTAATAATGCATTAGTTTAGTAGTAACTAATTTTTATTTGCAAGTAAAAAATTTTTCATAGACAGCTTAAGTGGGCTGGGCATGGCCTAGCTGTTCGCATGCCAGACTATGGACCCATGGTTCACTTTCCATTGTCGAAAAAAGAAAAAAATCACGCTCCACACTTCGGGGCCATGGGTGCATTATAGGAGTAACATTCAAACCATACTATTCGAATAGAGTAGCCCAAGAGTTTGCGGTAGATTAGCTGCCTTCCCTCTAGTGTATAAGATGAAAACTGTGGACGACAAACATAAATAACCACTGTGAAACTTTGCGAGAATATTTAAAACAAATGACGCAAGGGTATCAGTGACTCACCTTTAGCTTAAGTGGGCCCTCCAGTGGCACAGCGGTCTGTCTGCGGAGTTACAACGCTAGAATCCGGGTATCGATACCCGTGGTGGGCAGAGCACACATAGCCCATTGTGTAGCTTTGTGCTTAATTACAAACAAACAAACAAGCTTAAGTGTATTATTAAAACATTAACGAAACACTGTTTTCAATTTTTGGATAAATAAGTATTGTATTGTTTGTAATTAAGCATAAAGCTACACAATGGGCTATCTGTGTTCTGCCCACCACGGGTATCGAAACCCAGATTCTAGCGTTGTAAGTTCGCAGACATACTCCTGTGCCACTGGAGGCTAGGATAAATAAGAGATGCAACCTAGATACGCTATTACATATATATACACACACAATAATTTTCAATAGCGTATTCCAACGACAAACCCCGCAGTTCATTTTGTCAGCCAACACAAATCGATGAGCAGGATAAGTCATGAAATACAAGGCTTTTTTAGTGGAGTAGCAAAATGTTTAACATTAGGGTGTGAGGTAGTGTTACGCCCTGATCTTCCTTTCACAACGTATCCGTGCAGTCTGACGGACGGTGAACGTCATAGACATCCCTACATCATCGAAATTAGTTTCTTTTTTATTCTCAGAGACTCTATACTATCGACTTTATTGTCTCACGTAAGCTTTTTTTTAATAATGCCTGGTACCAAAAGCTGTTTGCATCCCATGAACATTGTTAGGGGCCATGTTTTGGTCCATCACTCTATACATATTTATTGATTATAAAGTTTATTTGAACAAGTTAAAACAGCAACGGATTAAAAATACGTACAGTAAGTGGTAGAAATCCGTAAAATATCGGAAATAACATCAACTAAACTAAGTTCAGGCTTCAAAGTTTACTAATATATATATATATATACGTATCTTTATCAATTAAAAACTCATTCTTACAACTGTTTTCGCAGAAATGACAATTTACCAATGTAACATTTTCGCCAGCTTCAAAGATCTTGTAAATTCAGTTTTATGTAGTTTTTTTTTAGTTTCCCAATTATAATAATTTATATTCCTTCTGATTTACCTCGCCTATTCAAAAGCCAATTGATGTTTTTGAAATTCTAAACATTTTAATTTTTGTAAACCGTATAAAATGTAACGCAGATGAAAAATTACATATTAATCATTAATTTAGACCACAAATGAAACTTCTTTCTCTTGCTTCTCCAATCCCATTTTTTCCTTTCCAATTTGCACACAAAATTAAGTTTTGAGGAAATTTGGAATTGGTTGTTTCAACTGATTTGTAAAATATATGATATTCACTTAGCAGATTTTTCGTCACGAAATTAGTTTTGACATATAATTTGATTTCCGATACAAGATAAATAAAAAATTGGGAATTTAATAATGTATACAGTATCGCCAGCCTTGTTGCCTTATCCTTTTTACGATCCCTATTTGCAGGCTTTTAAATTCATAATTTGTTATTTTTGTTTGCTGACTTTTTTATGCTCAAAGGATTACTTTATATGTTAGCTAACGTTATGCATTGTAATGATAACAAGCATAACTAGTAGCTGGCTGATAAGGTTCATGATGATTTCCTGAAGCTATCGACTACCAATTCGGTATGTAAAATGTTAAGCTGCAGTTAGAGATTGTCAAGGTTTATTTGAGAATATAGTGACCATTTATAGTTTTTGTGTAACTAAATTTTCTATATATAATGCATATCAATGGACAAATATATGTCTAAACTAAGACACAACCCACACTAAGTGCGTATAAAATTTTACCAGTAGAAAAGCAGCATTTTCAAATACAACCTACACGTCTAAAACACCACTTTAAACAAACCTTCAGGTCTCTTAAAGTAACTATTCTGCGAATGTAATAAAATAATAGTGAAGTGTGTTGATTTCTTTTACTCCTTCACATCATAATTAATATAGAAGTTGCCTCTCTAAAGACACCGATAGTATTCAGTTTTTGCTTGTGACGTCACGAGCTGGAAAATCTCAGTCATTGGAGACGCGAAGCTACCACGTGTTTATTTAAAGCTTTGCAGTGTGAACTTAACTTTGTCTTAAACGCCTTGGCTTTATCAGGTACCATCATTGTAATTCCTTGTTGTGCTGTTGGATGTACCAATAGACAGAGACAAAAGTCCGGTTTTGCTTCCAAAAGACAAAGAGTGATGGAATCAATGTATTTCAGCTGTCAATCACAAATATTGGAAACCATCAGACTACAGCTGTGTAGTGAACATTTTACAGCAGGTATGACTGCTAATTTTTCAACAGTACATAAATAAATGTATCCTTTACATTATGGGAGAAAAATGTAAATAATCATCCAGTCCTAAAGCCAAGTAAAGGTTTTGATAACATGACAGTATTGCCATGTATTATCTCCCAAACTTACACAAAAAACTTGTCCCATGCTTTGTCTCTCGGCTCAAACATGGTTTATAAGTCCAAAGGTCATTTCAGAATTATATTTGAGTAATATTTTCCCATACGCTTATATCTGGCATGCAATAAACTTTATCAGTCCATCAGATTACAATTTTTCTGAACAATATCTAAATGAAATTTCAATGTTCGAATTTTACCAAATGAACAAAACAGATCAGAAATAGCTTCACTTTAATTTAGTTCTTCGTGAATAATTATTTTTTGTATCATAATATTAATAGACTCAGTCAGGCTACCAATACGTATAATTCTGTTGATTAAATGTCCAGGTGCCAAGAGTGAACACTCACTCTCCCCTGACTGTATTCCTACCGTGTGTTCTCACATCAAGTCATTCCAGAAGAGACGAGCAGCGAAGAATATAGCCAGATTTCATACGCGCCAGGCAACGAAAAAAAGAAGTCGTGAGGAGTGAATTCCAGTAATCCGTCTGGCAAATTGTACATTTCGCTTTGCAAGCCAGCTAGATTCAGCAGGTATCACTGTCGATGTTCTCCCTGCAGATAATGTCAGTGACAAAGTATCTAACATAATTTATCGCACTTTCAACTTTTGCCGAGTTTATCTCACACGTGGTATATCAGTGTACTATACTCTAGAGTGACATCCAAAATGGTAGACAGGAATGCATCACGTGATTTTGGTCACGTCTGCAAAACCTCGATAGAAAACAAAGCATTGAGTATCTTCATGATACAGTCACCTAATATTCATCTATTATTGGCTGGTAATTCCAGTTTCACCCTGTACTTATGCTTTTTAAAGAAACACCAAATATTTGTAATGATAACATCGTTTACACTAGAATTGTTTTTTAGCTTATGTAAAATACATAAGAATCAAATCGACTTTTCAATACCCCTACGACCTTCGCAGTACCATATTTAGTATTCTACAAAAAATTTGGGTGAAATATACTAAGCTATTTTTGTTGTAGGCTGGGCAAGAGAATAAAAATAATTACAAACGTTTTGAGCAGATTTTCTTTCCCACGTAAATCTAGCATGCGTGCTTTTTTATGTGTGTACAGCTTTAGCAGTCAATAGTGAAGGTTTTATTGTTTGAACAGAATCTTTACTGTTTAAGGCGCTTTTTGCCCGAATTTTCTATTATGATTCTGTGCAATTCCTTATTATGAACCACTGTCGTGGTTCATGATAATTCTGTCAACACAAAATTTTGTACAAATATACATTTTAGTAGACAAACAGAACTAATGAAAAATGTGTATGTGATATTTTTCCTTTAAGTATTTAATGCACAATGTTTTGCAAGTGGGAAAGGTATCTTCAGAAACTAAATAAAAATTAATATTTCACAATGATACACCAATTGTTAATAATGACAATGTCAAAGTAGTTTGGCAACAATATGTTTTTAAGCATTGTTATTTTAAAATACATTTCTTAATTATCAGAAGTTATCAATGTCCAATAATTGCATATAATTAAATGTTGGAACACTTGTCATATATGGCATTTTTTGATACACTAACATGTTCATTTTAGGTGTTTATTTTCTTTTTGGTATTTGGCTGGTTATATTCAATTATTATTGTTTCATATGGTTTTGATATGACACTTATGTTATTAGCTTATATTGTAGCCATTCATTTAAAGTTATCAAATGTCAGAATAAGTAATTGTGTCATATTTTATAGACAATGTACATGTACAGCATTTATCCATGATTGCCTACATTCACCATCATTTACTGTACCTGAACTTAAGAATAAGTTGAATATATATTTTCATATTCAACAATGTTAATATTATGAAATTTAATCGTTTTTCTTTTCATTAAAGCGATGTGACAACATAAAACTTTTCATCATTTGTTATATATATATATTTTTTTTAAGTATAAGCACAAGGATAATGTTAAACATGGACAAGCTGACAACAGTAAGATGTTCTTTTATTGAAACATTCATGTATTCATAAGACCAAGGACATGAGTGTTAATATGACAACAGTAAAAATTAACTCTTGACTGAATCTTCACAGCAGAAGGTGTAATCGGGTATTTGTTGTACATTAGTTTTTTAATCTTATTTTTAAAATTTGATATTCTGATGAAAGGTTTTAAATATTGTGCATTTTGAACATTAATACATTTGTTTTAATTTTTTTCCCAGAGGCAATTAATCACCAGAACTTTGGCACAAAAGGTAAGAAAAAGACAAATTTGGAGCTTTGCTCATTCCTTTAAAAAGGAAACAGAAAAACTTACTTGCATAGATAATATCCACAAGACTTATTCTAGTAAAACATTAAAAATCAAACTAGAATTTGTGCCAAAAGGTAAAAAAAAAACATTTAGAAATATCTGATTCACATAACAATTTATTGTGTAACTTTCTCACGTTTAAAATAAAAATAACAAATAGTACTGAACTAAATACAGAGCTCCCCTTTGTTTGTATGCCATTTCAATCTAAACAGTTTTAATATCAATTGATCAAACCCATACCAATATCTATAATTCAATTTTAGATACATTTGTGTACTATTATCAGTTTAATTATAATTAGCAAAATCTCAGTAATGTCAACTTAATATATGTCAAAACAGAAACATTCTACATTCTACCTTTAAAATATACATATATGTAGTAATATGAAAGAAAAGAAAAAAAAAAAGACTTTAAATCCTCTACATAGTACTATATTAAAATCATGAATACAAATATATTTCTTGGCCTTATATTTTGGAGTGATATGGTCAAAAGTACAGTTAACACATTCTAAGACAATGCAAGGTTAGAGCTGAATTTGGAATGTACACAAAAAACAAAAACCCAGTCCTAGTCTTATCAGAAAAGCAATCAGAAGCAGAAGCTATGAACTACCACATCAAAAATGGTGTAATTCTCAGGAGTGGATGCGTGAAATGACTATTTTGACTCAGTTTTTAACAAAACAGTCCCACGCTGTTTTCATTCATCAGTATCGTCGACCTCCTCCTCCACCACCACCACCACCTCCTCCATGTTCTCGCATGCTGGCAGAAAGAAAGAATTAGCATTATCTAAAACTATTAAAATTAAGTTTCATGCAAATTGAACATTAGTAATAACTTTTAAATATTTTCAATATATGTTTTACATCCTATCAAGCAACTGATACTTCTGAACTTTGCTCACTAAAAATGCTTAAAAATTGGTTTTCACAACCTTTATAATCACCTTTCTTTCCACCCTCTTAAATCTCATCTATCGATAAAACACTAAATTATCTCATTAATCAATAACGTCATCTACTGCCCTCTAGGTTTTTAGAGGGTACAAGAAACATCACAAAGTTAAAGTTTTCTGTGAAAATGTATATTCTTCTCAAACAGTGATCTTGATCATAAGGTTTTTGTACGAGTTTTTCTGTTCATTGTGATATGTAAAAAAATCAAAATATCATACATTTACAATGACACAATGAAATATTTAAAGGTAACCAAAACTTACTACTAACAACAACAAACTTGTCAAGAAACTTTTATATAACGTTTTCAAGAAGTTGGATGTTTAAATTAATGTTCATACTCCAAATAAATGTTATAATCTATGTTATACTAACCTGTCAAATAGAAACAGAAAAAGTTACAAAAAATCAACTTACAGGGTAACATATATTGTGTTAAACCCACTTTAAGTGATGAGTTTGTGATTTATTAAAAGTATAAGCACTATTTTAAAGAAAAAAGTTAATGGAAAAATATACGTTCTTATACTGGACTAAGTAATCTATGATGCCAATATGAATTGCAAAATCTGTCTAAAGATATCTTTTAATATTTTGCAATTTAAATTTAAATGAAACCTAAGACATTAAAAAAACCCAACAGAATAGACAAATGATAGCAAGGTGGGAGGTAAATTAGCATCCTTGAAAGATTGGGTGAAGTTTAGATATGTAAATGGTCTTTTGCTCCATGGTTCCTTGGACTTCAATAAAATAAAGTTTTACCTGTTCTATTTCTGATAAACTTTTTACCAACTATATTACAGGCTGATGCAGCGAATGGACAAATTATATTTTTATATTTATATAATTAAAAACAAGGCTACTGAATTTAGTTTGCAAACCCACAAAACTGTTTTAAAAAGTCCACTTCTCAAAACACTAGGGACTATAAGACTCGTATTAATCAGAAATGAATTTTTAGTACTATTCTACATTAAACTGATCTTTTAACTCTTTCAGTACAGGCTTGGTCCCTGGGAATGACCTCTTAACCATTCTGTACTTGTTATAGTTTTCGTGCTATAACTTTTAAATTAGTAAACAAATGTTAACAAAATAATGCACATTATCAGAAAACATTACAATGCTTTCATATGCAAAATATAATTTTTTTTTATTCTTAAGGTTTGTAAAGCTATGTTTTTCTCATACCTCTTTTCTTTTTACATATTGCCTATCTATCATGCAAAGTAATTTACATTTTTGATTAAAACTACTTTTATGCATCAGAAAATTTTTTAATCTAACATGCAAAATCTTTATAACATCCTGACAGTTACAAAATGTGTAAGAAAAAACTTTATATTTTATCTGTTATTTTTAGTAATTAATCTCTGTACGGGGTCGGTAAATTTGACTGATCTCACAACCACCATAAAAAATTAGGAAATAAACAAATTATGCCTCTTTCATTCTAGAATGAACACAAATTATAACACAAAAACATAAATATTTAGACAAAATAGCTTAAATCTCATAACATTATACATTTATTATTTTTATTATAATGATCTTTCAGCCATGCCTGGCTAACATTACAGAAGTTACAATGACGTGGCTCACGTGTGCACTCATGTTACCGTATCCAGTAATATAAATCTGACCTTTAGTCTTTACAAAGTGACTTGTCTTGGCTGTGTTTTAATAGACATGTTACCGTATCCAGTAATATAAAACTGACCTTTAGTCTTTACAAAGTTACTTGTCTTGGCTGTGTTTTAGTAGACTAGTATTTTGCAAAATACAGTCACATTTCAATTATTATACATTATATATGTATATAAAGTATTGCTATTTAGAAAAGTTCTTAAAACTTATTTTCTTAAAACAT